GCAGGCAAGCTGGACCCTCTTTGGCCGGCCAACTCCTGTGGCCAATGATGTCCCCCTTAGCCGATTTCTACTATTTATTCAGCCTGCAAAGGAGTCTGGTGGAGACTAAAAAAATGGAAAGAAAAGCAAGAATTGTTTGAAATGATCAATATCGGAGTGCGGACAATTTACTGCCAAAAGTTGACTTCATGACCAATTTAACACGTACCACAGATGATCAGGGAATGTGGAAGGATTAAGAAATACCTTATTTTGCCTCCATGTACCAGGCGATGTGTCAAGTCTTCCCCGCTATAGGAAATATCCCAACTGGCGGGTGTGCACACTGTGTTTGTCTTTATGAACAGTTAGTATGAGACTAATCTAAAATCACATGAAACATTACACACCCACACCACCTAAATAGACCAATCTGGAGCTGTATAAGAAAACTGAAGGACATTAAGTATGATTATTCTTATTGCATACACGTAAGCATACAATAACACATTATCATGCATCATGCAAATTTTGGAGTCAAACATTTTGTTTGTTGATATGTTTGCTTGGTTGGTTTGTTTATATTATATTTCTAAGGCAAAACTGAACTTGGTGGATATAACAAAATCTTCATAGAACAAGAACAAAGGGAAACACAGCGCTGTTCTCATGATATCCCTCTGATAAAGAAGGACCCCTTCTCTTTTCGATAAGTGCAGTGGGTTCTTTAACGTGCGTGGGGTGTGGCTCTCCCAATAACGGGACCTCCATTTAACGTCCTATCCGAGGGACGTCCCTAACCGAAGCTAGGTATTCATTTCCACCAGCGTGAAGAGAGGATGGTCGGGTAAAGTGCCTTTCCCAAGGGCACAAGATCGTGACATGTAGGATTTGGTCCTGAGCAGAGCCGAACACGCTACCGATTACGCCACACGACCCCAATACTTTCATCTGTACCAGACGAGTTTGATTTGATTGAGTTTCTTTTGTTACTCAAACCCGTTTGATCAACTATAAAGACCAGTCCGGCTGTTTACTAAATTTCAGTTGTTGCCTATATAACGACCTGCATATAACACGTCTTGTTTTGCCAAGGACGTTGGATCCATTTTCTAACCTCCTTGGCCTTTCTATTTTTCCATGAAGCTAGTGCATGTGATTAGCTACATGTGATTTATAAGATTTGTTTTTAAACTCTGGACAACTGATTATCATTAAAGAATGTAAAACATGGAAAGACTGACAAAAAGTTGGTTTGACATACACTCGTTTTACAATTGTTTTGATAAGGAATCTACTTCATGAATGTTCAACGAATTCGGCGCTAATTTTACTGTGACTGTTACACAAGATTGTACACATTATGTGTTGTTGTCAGCTATATTTTATGTATTGTGTAATGTTGTCCGGTATATTTTTCATCGTGTGTAAAACCTTTTTTTATTTTCTCTGAACAAATTTTGAAATATACACTGAGGACGTTAAGAACGTCGCATTGCCACGGTGTCAGATTGATATAAACCATGTAACCTGCGCGGCCTGTTCTTTGAGGTAGCGTAGGCGTAGACTAGTCAGCACCATGAAGGCATTAGTGGAGGGTTGATTTGCAAGCCAGGTTGTTTACACAGCTAGGTGACCTTTTACAACTGGTAACTCGAAGGACACACTATAGTTAACGTCCTTGGTAACCCAAAGCTGCTTTATACAAATTTGTATTTGTATATTTATCGAAATATGATAATCACTGTGTATGATATAACCTATGGCAACTTGTACAACAATTTTGGAAAATAATCTCCTCCACGAAAGACCCCCTTCATGTTTTGCAACCTTTAACCCTTATATCCCAAATTTCTCGCCCTTTGGACACAACATACTGCAGTACGTCAATTATAACATACTGCAGCATTTTCAGGCTGTAGGATTCGGGAGCTATAATAGGTTTATTAGTAACCAGGCTAATTAGTATTCGTTTTCCAATATTTTTTTCGCAATGTACAGCATATATTTGTTCATTTTGTTCTTTGTGAGATTTACAATATGGTAACATTTTTGTTTGGGGGAGGGGAGCTTGATGTTACATCGTTCTCTTACATGTTTTCGTGTGGCAGCAAAGTGTAACTCATGTTTTAAAACGTCAATAGAAATGTACGCTCATGACAACGCTATAAGAATGTGGGTGCACTAGGGCAATTTTATGTTATGTGGCTCAACAAAGAGAAAAAGTAGAATTGTATGTTCATATAGACGACAATACAAAAAGGAAACAACACTCCATTTCCATTAATTGTCTATTCATTGCCTTTGCTACGCAAAACGATACATATTGAAAAGCAGAAAAAGTTTATATTCAGAAAATTCCCAATAATGCAAAAGTTACACATCATATACATATCAATCGGCATGACATTGATATTACAGTCCAGTATGGTTACATTTGCTTAGTTTTGGTTATCATTTAACACTTCTGTACAGTAGTGTAATGTTTTGCCCATTCTTAACCATTGTCACAATCAGCAACGATTTTACATTGTAATAGTTGATGACATTTATCTTTTCTTGATACAATCGTGACATATATAGAAATATAATTTCATTTTTGTAAAGCTAGCGTATAACATTGCTGTAAATTTGGAGAAATTTTAACAAAGTGACTCTGATACAGACGTACCCATGAATTGAATATTAAGTTTTTGTGGACAGTGATGGTATGTAATTTGTTTATTTTACAGCATATATTTACCCCTACATGTGAAGTATCGTAGAAAAATCCTTCAGAACGATTGATGCATCTACGGTGCAATTCAATATGGCCCCTCATTGTGATGCTTTTCAAAAGCCATTGCCATGGTGTCTCATCAAATACAGAACATAGCATTTTCCAACACGAACTAATAAAGTACGTTTTTGTCTTTCTACATTTCATACTACATGTTATGCACTAATACAACGTGAAAGTAAAGTAAGTACTAATTGAAATAATCCTTCTCAATAGATGAATACAGCCATTCCTTCCTCCCAACTACAGTATGTGACATCAGAACTTGATAATATAATAATTGTTGAGACAATGTCATTAACATTTACTTGCTTGCTACATAAAACAACCATAGCAGTGACAGCTATTTTAGATGACATAAGATGAGTGTGTAACCCGGTTTAGTTAGCACAGAAAACTACTTCCATGTACTAGTATGTTATTACTTTCCAAGCGTTAAACATTTTCCACTCAAATCTAAGCACTGTGACTACAAGAATTTCCCTGGTCAAGTTCACGAAATGATTACTGATATGAAGGCACACAGGTCTATTTGAAAGTCTTTTTCAAAATAGTGTGAGATACAAACAGCACAATAGAAAGTGTTTTCAGTTTCGATACTTAAAACATTATTAATGTTTTCTATGTCGTGTGCTAGATGACACACGTTACCTGTAATGTCTATTGCTAAATACGTAAAAGTGCTTTTAACCTGTAGGTATTTCCTCAGGTTTGCTCTAATTTACCAGGAAAATGTGTTTCCCTACTAAAAAAATAACAAAATAAGAACATATGTCATGATTGTCAGAAAAATACAACAAGCAGTGTTGCCCAAGGAAGTGACTTATTAATTATTTGTTATTATCATATAACCGGGCCATGACATCACTAAGGCAAAAGTCGCTAAGTCGAGAAAAAAGGCAGTAAATCCCTTTACTATTTTTTTACAACAACATGAAAAACTCCCTGGAGGCCTGCATGAATAAACAAAGTCAGCCACATGTTGTAGCTTAAGTTGTCATATTTCTGGTTTGTCTCATCAAGAAACTGTATACTAGTATCATTGTATCTTGTATACTTTTGTACATCAATATTTAATTTTTTATACTGTAACAAACTATACAAAATGTGCCTCTTGCCCCTGTCTTCTTTGGAAACTTGAGAATAATTAAATCATTGAACGGATTAATGTAGAAAAAGATACGCATTTAATGATTAGCCAATAGGAATGATGGCTTTCAACTTTTTAAGTATCATCTGACAATGTCGGTGTCAGTTTGAATTGGCTGCAGAATGATAACTTTCATGATACGAATTGGCTCTGTCATAAAATCAAGTTACTGACTCGCTCTTTCCTCGGCGTTCACAGTGACATAACGCCTTGCTCACTCGGCGGTTTGTTCGGTGGCTATAGGTCGCTGACTAAGTGTTATGTCATAATAAACAACCTGAGGTGGG